CAATTTACTGCAGATGTTTCAAATAAAGACTAAATGAAGCAACTACTTAGAGAGGTGTGGGCAGGGCTAAGGCAGCAAACGGGATGGAGGGTTAGAGGAGGCGCCTGGAATGAAGGATAGACCACCTGATGGTCTGGGAGGGCTGCAGCTCTGCCGGAGAGACTCAGCAGGGAGGGAACAGAAAGAAAGACCTGGACTTCTCTCTACCCCTCCCTCCCTTCTGTCTCCTGCAAGTAGCCTCCCATCAGCTGAACCCAGCCAGAAGGCAGCCCTCAAGGTTAGCCTCCTGGGGTACAAAGCAGGACAGAGAAGGCACTGGGGGAGGAGAGCACATGAATAACCAGCGAGGAGGAACTGTGCAAGGGTGGAAGTCGTGGTCAGTATGATTGTTACCTGTGATTTCTAAGACGTAAGAACAAATTAGAGAAATCAAAGCATTAAGAATAAGAAAGTTAACGGAACTGAAAAACAGGGTAAGTTGTGAGAAAATGAAAATGAGGATCATGTAAATGATGTGGATATTTGTGGAAGTTACAGTCATTTTGAAGAAAACTGGGTGGGCCTAACTGTCTCTGAAACCACTACTATTAATAAAGAATTTAACATTTCTTTAGGACCCATTTTACAGCGTTCTAAATAGTCTTACTATTCTGCATTCAATTGTCTGATTTTCCCCTTAAAACACAGATTCTTACGCATTGCTGTCAAGTCAATTCCGACTTACAGCGAGCCTATAGGGCAGAGTAGATCTGCACCACAGGGTTTCCAGGGAGCGGCTGGTGGATTCGAACTGCTGACCTTTTGGTTAGCAGCCGTAGCTGTTAACCACTGCGCCACCAGGGCCCCTCGTAGATTCTTAAATACCTTAAAATACTTTCAGTAGTTATTGAAAGATTGAAATTTTATTAAGAGAAAACCAGCTTACCTCTGTAAGTGAAAATACTTGGAGTACATAATATATTTATTGTTAGAAGGGCATCCATTTTGTTTATCAATTATTTGTGGTAAAATCTGCAACTTAAACAGTATTTATGTCATACTAGGTGTATGTGATCTCAGATGTTTGAAGGATTTTCTCCTTTGGTATTCTGCAATAGCATCCGTTTATTCTAAATATTATTGTAAAATATAATCCAACATAAATTATGTATGTAATATATCACGAAATATATTTGCCAAAGTGCCCTATCTAAATATATGTTGTCGAGTGGGTAAAACAGAAGAGAGGACCCTGAGTATTATTTTTGTCAGTACCATTGATTTCTCTCTGTGCTATCTTTTTTCTCTACTTTGTTAATTTTTTTGCCTTGAAGTTCATTTATTCAGTATATAGGGTCCTAAACTACTTCTTCTGCAAAATGTATTGGAAAGAATTATGAATCTCTATGATACTCCTAGTTACCTAATAGAGAATGTTGCTTTCAAAAGATTTGTAATACACAGAATATACTTAGAGATTAGACTTTATGCAAGTTTTCCAATTTGATGCTGTTCTAAAATTGTTTGAGAGCATAACGCTTTTTCTGGCAAGTAGAAAATGGAATAACCAGTGCACAAAGATGTTTCATATAAAATAGCAAAACAAGAAAAATTACGAAGTTTTGGCAGTAGAAATCTGTTTTCAGTTGAGTTTAAGAATAGATGGAGCATTGAGGAATATGCTTCTTAGAACAATCAAGTCTATGAGACCAAATGGGCAACACCTGCCCAAAAGCAAAGACGAGAAGGCAGGAAGTGGCAGGAAAACCAGACGAATGGAAATGGGCAATCTGGGGTGGAAAGGGGGAGAGTGCTGAAACAACGCAGGGATGGCAATCAATGTCACAAAACAATTTGTATATAAATTATTGAATGGGAAACTAATTTTCTCTGTAAACTTTCACCTAAGGCACAATAAAATGTTAAAAAAGAGAGAGAATAGATGGAGCGTTAACATGCAGAGAAACACAAGTTGACAGAATCAAAGCAAAACCAAAAAACCAAACCTGTTGCCGTGGAGTCGATAGTGACTGATAGTGACACTATAGCACAGAGTAGAACTGCCCCATAAGGTTTCCAAGGAGCAGCTGGTGGATTTGAACTGCACACCTTTCGGTTAGCAGCCATAGCTCTTAACCACTGTGCCACCAGCGCTCCAAATCAAAGCAAAGCAAAGGGGATCCTTTTGTCTGGCCTAACCATGGTGAGGTCTGAAAGGGGCATGCTGGAGTCAGGGGCTGAGTTTAGTAGAGAAAACTAAGAGGAAAAGGAAAGTGAGAGACTTCTGAGGCGGGTTGGAGAGAATCCCTGGATTCAAAACCAGAAACAAAGCCATTATTAACTAGATCCTAAAATGAAGTTTTTGAGAATGTTCTCTGTCAAAATATCGACTGCTCTTGTTAGTGCTAAGTGGTATAACCTTTCTGCTTTTACACTCTGAATTCTCTCAGCTCCGACTTATCTTGGTTTTAACACAGGAGTCTAGCAACTGCTGCAGAGTTTGAAGGTATTCTTCAAAGTGTAACAAAACATTCAGGATGGTTATTTAGGTTGGTAATAATATCAGGTAAAGAGAAGCTCCCTCCGTTTTGTTTCACCTTTGGAGCCCTCCATCCTCCTGATTTGGTCTGGACTTGATTGCTTTTCTTGACCTGCTGTTCCACTGTGGTCTTGGAGCAACCCTCCATCTTACCAGGGCTTCCCTTCCCAGGGACCCTTTTTGTTTCCTGAGCCTATGTTTTTATCTTTCTGTGTGTGAAGTTTTTTGTGACCCTGTGTGGAATTTATGGTGGTGCAAATGGTTAATGTGCTCGTCTGCTAACCAGAAGGTTGGAGGTTTCAGTCTACTGAGAAGTCCCTCGGAAGAAAGGCCTGGAGATCTACTTCTGAAAAATCAGCCATTAAAAATTGTATGGAGCACATTTCTTTTTTTTTTGTTTTTGGCTTTAACAAACAGAAATTTATTTTTTTTACAATTTAGGAGACTAGAAGTCCAAATTCAGGGTGCTGGCTCTAGGGGAAGGCTTTCTTTCTCTGTTGGCTCTGGAGGAAGGTCCTTGTCTCTTCTGAGCTTCTGCTCCTGGGCAATCTTCACATGGCTTTGCATCTCTCTTCCCCCATCTCTGCTTCTCTTGCTTGCTTCTCTAATCTCTTTTTAAAAATTTTATTTATTTTTGTGCTTTAGATGAAGGTTTACAGAGCAAATTAGTTTCTCATTAAACAATTAATACACATTTGTTGCCACCCCTACGACATGTCAACACTCTCCCTTTCTCGACCCTTGGTTCCCCTTTGCCAGCTTTCCTGTGCTCTCCTGCCTTCTTGTCCTTGCCCCTGGGTTGCTGTGCCCATTTAGTCTCATTTTCTTTTATGGGCCTGTCTAATCTTTGGCTGAAAGGTGAACCTCCGGCGTGACTTCAGTACTGAGTTAAAAGGGTATCCAGGGGCCATATTCTTGGGGTTTCTCCAGTCTTCTATGGAGCACATTTCTACTCTGACACACACAGTGTCCCATAAGCCTGAATCAACTTGATGGCAGCTGGTATTTTTATGTATGAAATGCCAGTTTGCCATTTTCATATTCGATGGATAGATTGGATGGATTAGGTTGGAAATAACTTTTCCCTCATATTTCATTCAAGTCTTTATAATGCCTGTTTTTTCTCTTCCCATTACCCCACCCTCAGAAGTTTGTAGGATCTTCTTTATATCCCCAGTGTTCTGAAATTTTGGTGTTATAATGACTTGGTATGGGTCTTATTTCTTCAATTTTGCTGGGCACTCAGTTGACCCTCCCCAATCTAGAAATCAAGTCCTTCAGTTCTGAGAAAAATCTCTGCATTATTTCTTAGATAACTTCCTCATCTCTTTATTTCTCTGTTCTCTCTTTCTGGAATTTCTTTTTGTCAGATGTTAGACCTCCTGAATTAATCCTCTGATCTTATGTTTTCCATCTTTTTTGTTGCTGTTTATTTGCTATACTTTTTGAAACATTTATCTTCTGATCTTTTTCCTGAAATTTTAATTCTGCTAAACTTTAAATTTCAAAGTGCTCTTTTTTGTTCTTAATGTTCTTTTTTTAAAAATAGCATTTTGTTCTTTCTTTATGGTTGTAATAGCTTTTCCTATTTTTCTTAGCATATTAATTACATTGATTACAGTTTTATTTTTGAAGTTTCCTTTTGCTGTCTGCATAGTCTGTTTCCTCGAAGTTTTTTCTCCCCCATCTATTTCTTCTAGTCTCTGACTTTCATCTTGGAAGTTTTCTTCAAATTTCTATTGCTTCTTGGCTATCAGTTCATTTTTGTGACTTTTTAAGGTACTAAAAGCTGATTGAAAGCTCCATCTTAAGAAGTTTGTTGACTGGTGTGCTTCACTGTAAGATGATTGGGTAGAGGCTTGACTCTTTCTTTGGGAGAGGCCCATACTTCAGTGCGTTTGGGCCTTTTCTTTGGAGATCTTTTAATTTCTCCAGAAAGATTCTTCTAATCTCTTGCTTATTGGAAATGAGCTAGATTGCCATTTTGGGGGAGCCCAGTTGGGAAAGAGGAGAAAGATTGCATGATTAGTAAGTGGTACAGGGAGTCCCTGGGTGGTACAAATGGTTAACATACTTGGCTGCTAACCAAAAGTTTGGAGATTTTGAATCCACCCAGAGGTGCCTTGGAAGAAAGCCCTGGCAATCTACCTCAAAAAACCTTATGGAGCACAGTTCTATTCTGACACACATGGGGTCACCATGAGTCAGAGTCAACTTGATGGCAATTGGTTAAGTGGTACAGGGATGTAAACTCAAATAGTGTGACTTCAGAGCTCTTCCTCCAGGCTACTGTGCTTATCACCTTCTTTATTAAAATTGAGCTTCACAGTCTTTTAGATAACGTTTTTTTTTAAAAAAATTATTACTTATTAAGTATAAGAGCCCATCTTAGTCTTGTATATAGTACAGTTAAGAACACTGTATATGATTATATTTAAATTATTTTCATATTAGCAATTTATAATTTGTTCTTAATTTGCAGCTTTTTTCAAGGAAGAAACCTCCAAGGGGCCTGTATGTTTATGGAGATGTTGGTAAGTGTGTTAAAATAAGTTTTGAGTGGCCCAAATGGAAGGTCTCCCAGCCTTCTCTCGTGATATAATGTCTGTTTCCATCCCTCAGTCCTATACTACCAAGGGAATAGGATGAGGCAGGGTAAAGTCAGGGGGAGAAGAAAGGGGAGAGGATGGCAGAGTTATCTCAGGCTTCACTTTTCCTTCTCCTAGGATGTGGAGCCCTGGTGCTGCAGTGGTTAAGAGCTACAGTGAGCTAGGGCTGCTTACCAAAAGGTTAGCATTTCAAATCCACCAGCTGCTCCTTGAAAAGTCTGTGGGACAGTTCTACTCTGTCCTATAGGGTTGCTGTGGAGCAATTCTACTCTGTCCTATAGGGTCACTATGAGTCTGAATCGACTTGATGGCAACGAGTTTTGTTTTTTTAGGATGCGATGTAGGATTAGTTAGCATGTTAGGGTACAAACATTATTTATTTTATAAAGTAAGCTGACCTCAGAGAAGGAAATCATCCCTAGATAGGTTATTAGATAAGTTAGAATCTCATTACTTAGGTTATTAAATAAATCAGAATCTCATTACTCGGGGCTGTTTGACTCAGCTTAATACTTTTTAAAACATAAGCCGTTCTTTTTTACTTTTAATGTCTACTAATATTTTTATTCATAATATAAGCATTTATCCTCAATTTAGTTATTATCTGAAATTTAGTTATTAGTAGAGACTTTTATCTTGTAAATGGTGACATTTCCTTAGCCTCCCAGTTACATAGACTGGGTATAAATACAAGTATTTCGTTGGAAACCTTCTAAACTGTCAGTTATTTTCTAGATTTTCCTAACCAGTTAATGTTCTACTTCTTATCTGACCTCATTCCTGCTGAAATTGTCTGCTTTCTGGGTTCCATTTCCTTCAAACAAATTCCTTTTCTCCTAGCCTTAAGCCTCTCCCTGGTCACCCACGTTCACTGATGTTGTGAAGGTGGCTTCCACTTTACTTGGCCTGACTGTCCTCTTACTTGTCAATCATTTCTTTTATTGGCACACTCAAACTCACATTCATACCCAAACTCACATTTATATGTAAGCGATCAGTTTTGCCCAGACTAGTAAACAAGCTCCAGGATCTTCTATAGCCTTAACAAGTTGCATTATGAGAGGATGGTGGCAGGGGTTGTTTTCTAGTAAAAATTTTTGGACAAGAGAAAAAAAAAAATGGACTTGAATAAGTAGTTATTGTACCATAAAGATAAAACTATTCGTTTCTTTCTCCTCTTTCTGTCTTACATTTATTGATCTAACTAATCTAATAAAAAAGAATCGTTTAGTTCACAAAAGTGAATGATAGAGATTGCCCCTTAAAATTCTTCAAGTTCTTGAAATGTCTCTTCAGTTCCTTTGCCTGTTTTTTGATTGGGTTGTTAAGTCTTAGGTGTTCTTTGCATATTCTGGATATTAAACCTTTATCAGCTATAAGGTTTTAACAGTAGATTTTAAAAATGTGAAAGAAGCTCAACTGTTTCTTTTTCTTAGTTCGTTGGTAAATTGGTATGTTTGATACCAATATCTGCTTCTTATTGAGAAAGCAATTTATACCTGGTGCTTAACTTGGTCAGTTTTACATGTCTACACCTTTGGGCTCCGCTCACAGATCTCATCCTGTTGTCGGCTCTCATTCTTTGCCTCTCAAGAACACTTACTTCCTATACCACCGCTTTCATGTTTAATCATTGCTAAAATCCACATCTTTGTTTCTCCTGTTACCTTAACCACTTAACCATAAATGGAGATGATTAGCAAAGCATAACTGCATCTACTTCTGCAAAAGGACTTTAAAAAAAGAAAAACAAAAAACCTATGAAAGTCGTTGGATATTATTTGGAAAGTACAGACATATTCTAACTAATTGAAGGGAGGTGCAATAAAAGTAATTCATATGACTGTTTGAAAGAATTAGAAAAGATGTGACAACGTGGGATGTTCACCTTGGCTGGGTGTGTGGCAACCTTTGGTTAGAAATGTTTTTGTAATACAGAGGCAGGAAGAGAAGGGAATTCTGAAATAGGAAGTGAGATGAACATTTTGATGAATATAGTCAGTTTAGTTTAGAATATTTACAAAAAGGGTAGCAAAAGATAGGTCATATTCTCATTTTTGGGGGCTCCTTAGCTGGGAGAATAGTCTCAGAATGTCATTGCAAACCTTATTTATTTATTTTTTTAGACTTGGGGAACAGGCGTTAAGTTTTTTTAAAAATTGTTTTATTGTGGTAAAAATATATATAACAAACATTTGCCAATACAACACTTTTTATATGTATAATTCAGTGACATTGATTATGTTCATCATGTTGTTCAACTATCACCACTATTCATTTCTAAATTATTCTACCACCATTAACAGAAACTCAGTGTCCTCCAAGCAATGACTCCTTCTTTCCCCCTCCCTCTCACTCCTGGTAACCACTAATAAACCTTGGTCTTTTAACATTTGCCTATTCTAGATACGTCATATAAGTGAGGTCATACAATATGTGTCCTTTTGTGACTTATTTCACTTAGCATATTTTCAAGGTTCATTTACATTGTGGCATGTATCAGGACTTCATTTCTCTTTATGGCTGAGTAATATTCCAGTGTAGGTATATACTGCATTATGTTTATCCATTCATCTTTTGATGGACATTTATGTTGTTTCTATCTTTTGGCTATTGTAATAGTGTTGCAATGAACATTGACGTCTGTTTGTGTTCCTGCTTTCAGTTCTGTTGGGTATATACCTAGGATTGGGATTGCTGGATTATATGGTAGTTCTATTTTTAGTTTTTTGACGAACCGCTACATTGTTTTCCACAGCTGCTTCACCATTTTACAATCCTACCAATAATGGATGAGGCTTGCAGTTTCTCCATATCCTCACTAACACTTGTTATTTTCTGTTTTTTATTATGGTGGAAATATATACAACAAAACACAAAACATACAGCAATTCAGCAATTTCTACCTGTACAATTTAGTGACATTGATTATATTCTTCAAGTTGTGCAACTATTCTCAGTGTCTTTTTCCAAATTATCCCACCACCAGGAACATGCATTCAGTGTACCCTAAGCAAAAACTCCCTCTTTCCTCCTCCTTCCCAACCCTGGTAACAATAATTTTTGGTTTTTATATATTTGCTTATTTCATATAAGTGAGATCATACAGTATTTGCCCTTTTGTGACTGACTTATTTCATTCAGCATAATGTTTTCTCAGTTCATCCATGTTGTGGCATGCATCAGGACTTCATTCTTCTTTATGGCTGAATAATATTCCATTGTATGGATATACTACATTTTGTTTATCTATTCATCAGTTGATGGACATTTCACCTTTTGGATGTTTCCACCTTTTGGCTATTGTGAATAGTGCTGCAATGAACATTGGTGTACATATGTCCTTTTATATTGCTGCTTTCCGGTCTTTTGGGGATATACATATAAGGGTGGAATTGCTGAGTCATATGGTCTTCTATGTTCAACTTTTTGAGGAGCTGCCAAACAGTTTTCCACAGTGGCTGTACCAATTTACATTCCCACCAGCAATGGACGAGGGTTCCTATTTCTCCACAATCTCGCCAACACCTAATGTTTTCCTTTTCTGATCATAGCCATCCTAGTGGGGGTTTCTCATTGTGGTTTTGATTTAGACCTCCCTAATGGCTAATGACGTTGAGTATCTTTTCATGTGCTTGTTGGACATTTATATATCTTCTTTATTGAAATGTATACAAGTCCTTTCCTGTTTTTTTTTTTCCTTTGGGTTGTTTGCTTTTGGTCGTTAAGTTGTAGGAGTTCTTTATATATCCTGGATATTAGACCCTTATCAGATATATGGTTCCCCCAAATTTCTCTCAATTTGTAGGTTATCTCTTCACTTTGTTGATAAAGTCCTTTGGTCCATGAAACCTGAAGTGCAGCAATGGGCCCATGCTCGTGGAATTCACCGGTCTTGCTATCATCCTGAAGCAGCTAGCTTAATAGAATGATGGAATGGCCTTCTAAAGACACAATTACAGCACCAGCTAGGTGGCAATACCTTGCAGGGTTGGGACAATGTTCTCCAGAAGCCTATGTATACTCTAAACTGGCATTGACTATATAGTACAGTTTCTCCCATAGCCACGATTCATGAATATAGGAATCAAGGGGTGGAAATGGAAATGGCACTACTCACTACTACCCCTAGTGACCCACTTCCCAAATTTTTGCTTCCTGTCCCCTTGACTCTGTGGGTCTAGAGGTCTTAGTTCTAAAGGGAAGAATTCTTACCAGGAAACATAACATTAGTTCCATTGAACTGGAAGTTAAGAATGCCACCTGGACACTTTGGACTCCTCATGCCTCTGGATCAACAGGCAAAGAAGGGAGTTACCGTATTGGCTGGTGTGATTGATCCTGATTACCAAGGGAAAATCGGATTGATATTACATAATGGAGGTAAAGAATACAGGAGATACCTTAGGATGTCTCTTAATACTACCATGCCTTGTGATTAAAGTCAATAAAAAACTACAGCAACCCAATTCCAACATGACAACTAATGGCCCAGACCCTTCAGGAATGAAGGTTTGGGTCACTCCACCAGGGAAAGAACCACAACCAGCTGAGGTGCTTGCTGAGGGCAAAGGGAATACGGAATGGGTGGTGGAAGAAGGTAGTTTTAAATACCAGCTATGACCAAGTGAGCAGTTGCAGAAATGAGGACTATAATTGTTTTTAATATTTCTTCCTTGTTTTATTATACGTGTATGTGTGTGTATATATACATATACATATATGTATACTGCAGATATCTTTGTTTTCTTCCCTCCCTTATTCCATTACTTATTATAAAATGTAAGATGTAAACGGGGCTAATGCATTTTCAGTTGTATGCGTGTTAGTTGTATATGTTAGGTACAAGTATGACTTTATAATTGTCTTTATTTAGAGACTGTATGGTTTAAGGAGATGTGTACAGGTGCCAAGCTGACAAGGGG